CCGGGGGTGTGGAGGAGTGGGGGGACGACGACACAGGGGCAGCTTCATTCCTTGAAAGGGGGCTGAGCCGCCAGGCTGACGCGCTCGCAAGTGCTAGAATTGGGGCGGTTGTGCCGAGGGCGCAGAGGGCGGTGTGAGGGAAGAAAGTACGAAGAAAGCAGGAAGGGAGGAGCGACGGCTGATCGGGGATAGGTTGGGGCTGTAGGTAGGGAGGGGTATGTACAGAAAGGGCGGTTGTGTTTTTGGGTCGACGGCCCTGCCCAACCTTCCTGTGGGTATCATGGGGATGGCGGCTGGCTGCTCCTCGGCATTGGCATGTGTGACGAAAGGGTGGTGCGCAATGCGGTGCGGTTCCGAGGACGGGGGAGGCGCGACGCGCGGCGGCGGGGCAGGCGGGGACGCGCGCCCCGCCCACCCCTCAGCAACCCGCCTGCAGCCTCACGTGTGGGGGGGGGTGCCCCCGGGGGGTAGCTGGGGGGCGGGGCCGGCCCGCTTCTGCCCTGGGGCCGCCTCGCTTCCCATGGTTGTCTGGGGCTTGAAAGTGGGGCCATTGATTTCCGGGGGCAGGGGGAACGACTGCGCCACAGGGGGGGGGGGGCAGAAGGGGGGCACCACTTCGGCCAACCACCCCAAGGAACGCGCCTGCAGCGTTCCCCACGGCAAACAGCCCCGCACCGCCGCGGCCGCCGACCCCGGCGCCCACCGCCCGCTCCCCGCCGGAACCTTCTCAAACCGCCGGCCCCCCCACACCCACAGACACAAGCCACACACACCCAACCCACTCTCTCTCTCTCTCTTTTCTTCTCACCTCTGGCGGGTACTGGTTAACTAATTACCACTGGCCCTGCCGGCGGGCCCCTTTGGCCCGCCGGGGGGGAGTTATGGGGGCGCCCTGCTCCCCCAGCTCGCGCGTGGTGATGGCGGCGGCGCTCATCTTGGCCGCCAGCGCCTCCTCGGCGGCGGCGCCGATGCTGGCGGCGCCCTGAGAGGAGGGCGAGCCCACGGCGCCGTAGCGGCCCAGCGGGGAGCCGGCGTCGGAGGCGGGGCGGCGGGTGATGAGGGAGGGGTTGGCGGACGACAGCGCCACGGCGGGCGAGGCGCGGCCGGAGCCTGCGGGGAGCAGGCAGGCAGGGGGGCGCAGCAGGCGAGGCGGTGGGCGCAACGGAACACAACAACCTGTGCAGCAGGCGGGGCAGGCGGGGCTGGGCAGCGAGGCAGCGGCGAGGCCGCCAGGCGCCGGCCCGCTCACCTGTGTCGGCGGAGGAGTGGGTGGCGGTGGGGGAGGTGCCCAGGTAGGAGGCGGCGGCGGGGCCCTCGGAAGGCGCGCGGTACATGCTGCCCGCGCTGGGCGCGGCCAGCGGCACGCTGGCGGCCGAGTGCGCGGGGCTGCTGCTGCCCGCAGACAGGGGCACCTGCGCGCCGCCGCCCAGCATGAGGCCGGCAGAGGCGGGGGGCTGGGCGTGGGCGGCCATGCCCGCGCCGCCGCCGCCCACATGCTGGCCCGGGCCCAGCAGGCCCGCCTGTGCCAGCAGCGCGTGGATGGCGGCCTGGTCGGCGCCGCCCAGGCCCTGGGACGCGTCGCCGTGCTGCGGCGCGCCGCCCTGCTGGCCCATGCCGCTCATCTGCTGCGCGCCGTGCTGGTGCTGCTGCAGGTTCATGGTGGGCGCCTGGGCCTGCTGCTGCTGGCCGGCCAGCTGCCCCAGCAGCTGGCCCAGCAGAGTGTCTGCGGGGAGCAGCCACGCAGCAAAACGCTCGTCAGCTTGGGGAGGGGGCGCGCCGAGCAGCAAACAGGCACGCGGCATCGCAACGGCGCCGGCGCGCGGCGCCCGGGAGGGGGCGCTTGGGGGGGCGACACGCAGGCGGGCGAGGCGCCGGCGCCGCGCGGCGCACTCACCCTGGGAGCCGGCGCCGTGCTCGCCCATGCCCATGCCGCCCATGCCCTGCTGCTGCTGGCCCAGCAGCGCGGCCAGCGCCTCGGGCGTCAGGCCGCCGGCCAGGCCACCGGCGGCGGGGCCGCGCAGGGGCGTCATGGGGGGCGTGAGGGGGCCACTGGGGCCGCTGGGCGGGCTGCTGCGCAGCATGCCGGCAGCGGCCAGCGGGTCGTCGGGATTGTACACCTGCGGCAGAGGAGGAGGCAGGAGGGAGGGGGAGGCTGAGGGGCCGGACTGGCGAGGCGCGGGCGAGGCGCGGAAAAACGAGGCTGCGGGGAGCAGGGGGCGGGCGAGGCGGCTGGCAGGGGGGCCTGCAGCAAGCAGAAGATGTGGAGAGAGCAGGAGCAGGGTGGCATCAGCAGCCGCCGGCTGGCCGCGGCGCGCACCTGCGAGGGCGGCACAAAGCCGTAGCCCTGCACGTATACGGGCTGGGGCTGGCCAAAGCCGGGCATGCCGGGCTGGGTGGTGCTCAGCGCGATCTGGCGCAGCATGGCGAAGCCCTTGAAGGTGCCGCGCACAATGTCGTTCACCATGGACACAGCCAGCTGCAGGCTCTGGGGGCTGCCCGCAATGGTGACGCGCGTGGGGTCGGTCGACTGGTCAATCTGCGGCAGGGCGGGCGGGCGAGGCGCGTCGGCGCGGAGGCCCTGCTTGGCTCCTTCCTGGCGGAGGAGGGAGCGGCCAGGCACGGCCACGGGACGCACGCCGGCAGCACAAAAGAGCTGCCGGGGTGCGGCTTGCGCGAATGCAACGAGGGCGGTGCCGGCGACTCGGGCACCCCGCCGCCCTCCCCGGCCCTGCAGCCCGCCTGCCGCAGGCGGCCCCCACGCTTGCCCCCGCCTCCTGGCCCCCCACCCACCTGGATCATGGCGCCCGTGTACTGCTGCAGGCTCTTGATCGTCTCGCCGCCCTTGCCAATCACACGCCCCACCATGGACTTGGGGCACTCCACCACCGCCGTCTGCTTAGGCAGCATCTTGGCGCCTAGCAGCTGCACCAGCTGCTGGATCTGGGCGGGGTCGGCCATGCCGGGCTGCGCGACAGCTGCTGCTGCAGCGGCTGCGGCGGGGTCGGCGGCGCCGCCTGGCGGCGGCGGGTACTGCGGGAACGCGGGGTGCGGGCCGAGGCCGAACCCTGCAGCATGCATTCGCGTGTGCTGGCTGGGTGTCTGCGCGCTGGGCTGGTTGCGGGTGTTTGTGGTACAGGGAGAGCTAGCTTCTGGAAGGTCTGCAGCAGGGGGAGGGGAACGGCCAGGCGGCGACGTAAGAGGGAAGGCGCTGGATGCCGGGCGGGTGTGTGCCCAACGGGCCTGCGACGCGTTTCGCAGCGCCGCCCCCGGCCTTGGGTGGCCTTGACAGCGGGGACTGGGGCGGGGCAGGCGGCCCCCGGGCGTTTCAGGGCCGTGGCGGCAGCAGGCACACGCTGATGACACGCACAGCCGGTGGCAGGCTGCCTCCCTGCCGCGCCCCACACGCCCCCAGCGATGGCTGGGAGCTTGGAGGGCCCAGCGGGGCGGCCCAGGCCGGGCAGCCAGCAATAGGCGCCTTAAGGCAAGGGGCACTCGCGCCGCCAGCCGCCCGGGCCATAGGGCGACGGTTTTGAAGCAGCCAGGGATGCTGGGCAGGCGGAGAGGGCGAGCGGGGGCCGGGGCGGCGAGCATGGCAGCCGCGTAGGGACGCGTCCAATCTGCTGGCTCCCCCAGGCTCTCGCACCCGGCAGCCCCGCCCAACGCCCTGGCAGGAGGTGCTCCAAAACCGGCAGCAACAGCAGCGCGGCGGAGGAGCTCACCAGTTGATGTGAGCCTCTTTCACTTCGGCGCCACACAGAAACCCGCGGGGGCGTGTGCTGTAGGACGAGGAGGGCTGGTTGCAGCGAACCCGCGAGAAGGAGCGGGGGAATTGCGGCTGTTTGGGGTGGGGCCCGGCTGAGTCCTGTTTTCCTACGTGGAAGTCCAAAGATGCAGAGTCCCCTCAGGGCCCCTGCAGCCCGCTTCCGCAGCCCAACATGCTGCGCAGCTGCACCCTGGGTGTCGGAGGCGCTGCAGCGAGCTTGGAGTGGATGGCGCCCACCATGACGTCCTGCCTCACGCCTCCCTGCCCCCGGCCATCGGCAGTGAGGCTCAGCGGCTGCAGGCGCCAGATCCAATGCAGGCTGAAGGCAGCAGCCTTTATCGCCTGGCCGTCGCCGCGGAGAGCGACGGCGGCGGCAACGAGAGTAGGAGCAGCTGCTGCAGTGCAGTCTGACGACGGAACCGATCGTGAGGCTTGCTGCCGCCGGCCCACCACCTGCTTGTGGTCCATCAGAGCGAGGCTGCTGTGTCGCACTGCCATTTTCACGGCTCAGCTTGGTGAGGAAGCCCCCTGCCTGCTGTGCAGCTGCGGTCGTCACAGAGGCCGATCGCTTGCACATGCGGCGGGCGCTGGAGCTGGCGGCGCGGGGGCTGGGTGCGACATACCCCAACCCGGCCGTGGGCTGCGTGATCGTGGACGCCTCTGGTCGCGTGTTGGGCGAAGGCTTCCACCCGCGCGCCGGCATGCCGCACGCCGAGGTGTATGCGCTGCGTGCCGCTGGCCGGGCTGCCGCCGGCGCCACCGCCTACGTCACGCTGGAGCCCTGCAACCACTTTGGCCGCACGCCGCCCTGCAGCCGCGCGCTGGTGGCAGCGGGCGTGTCCCGCGTGGTGGTGGGCTGCACCGACCCAAACCCGCTGGTCGGCGGCTGTGGTGTCAAGACGCTGCGGGACGCGGGCATCGTGGCGGCGGTGGGCTGCGAGCAGCAGGCCTGCTACCAGCTGAACGAGGAGTTCATGGTGCGCATGCAGGAGCAGGCAGCAGCTGCCTCGAACACCTGACCTTCAGCTGCCCTTTGAATTGCCATTTGCCTGCATGCCGCTCCCGCTACTCCCCTCTGCCCCTTGTACTGTGCACTGCGCCCCAAACTGTGAGTAACTTCTTCGGCATATTACCAGCATTCAGCAGATGCCCTTGGCACTGCGCCGTGCAGCAGATGGGTGGTCTGTCGCAGCGGCAAGGGTCGAGCCTTTCGTGCGAAAGCATTAACATCAGTTGGTGGGGTGTGGAAGGCGACAGCAGCGCATTAAAAAAATTACAGAGAGCGACAAGGCGGGCCGGGGGAGGCCTTTCGGTAGGAAGAACAGACGGGAGCGGGGGAAGTTGCGCTGCAGAATCTCTGGATGTTGTGTCAAGCGAATTCAGGTTCGAGGGCCGCAGCGAGGCGGCGCACCCACCCCCCTCGCTGCCACCGCCAGGCACAGCCGCAGCGTGGCGGGCTATTCCAGCCAGGATGAGATGAATGGCTGCCGCGGACCGGCCGGCAGCAGCGGGGGCAGTCGCCCGCCTCCCGCCGCCTGCCCTGGCAAGCTGCACGCTCACTCGTCGTACACGCGGCACTCGGGCTCAGCCGGGTTCTCCTCGCAGTACTCGTTCACACGCTTCTGCAGGCGGGAAGGGCGGGAGCCGGGGGGGCAACCGCAGGCAGGTCAGCGGTGTGCTACTGGGCATGGTGTGCAAAGACCGCAAAGGGGAACACATGTGAAGAACAATGCAAAAAAAAGGGCATCGCTCTTCTGTGGCAGCTGCATCGCAAGCATGCAAAGGGATGCTGCTGCTGCCAGACTCACGTCCTCCAGGGGGTCCGTGCTGGAGGAGGCAGCCTTGGCGTGGGCAGCAGCAGCGCTAAGCTCCTCCACCGTGTCCCAGGCCGCGGCGCTGCATCAGGATTTGGTGGCAGGTGAGCGGGTTGGAAGCGGTGTGCTGGGCACCGGCTTTGCCCAAATGGCGCGCCAGGGATCAGGGCGGCAGTGGGCCGCCGCCTGTGTGTCTGGCCGCCCGCTCTTCTGGAGCGCCCAACCCTGCTTGCAGCCCCCTGGGCTCGCCCCGCGCCGCTCAGCTGCCTGCCCCCGGCGCGCTGGACGGGCGGGTGGTGGCGATCGTGAGTGGGCTGCAGAGGGGCTGGCGGAGAATCGCGCTGCCACTCACCACTCGCCGCTGGCGCCCCCGGCGCACGACTCCTCAGCCTCCTTGATGGCGGCCTCAATGGCCTCCTTCTTGGGAGCAGACATCATCACCACGCGGCTGGGGCGAGCAGCCGGGCGGGCCGCAACCCGGGCGCCCATGGGGCGAGCACACACGGCGGGGCGCACGGTGAGGGACTGCATCTTGGCCTGGGTGTCGAGGGGGCAGGGTGAAGGCGAATTGAGGGGGCGGTGGGCGCCGCGCCAGCCCAGAAGATGGGGGCCTGGGACAGGGCCGACTCAGCATGCCGATGCCGCAATCCACGATTGCATCGGCGGCTGCAGTGTATGCGCCAATTCCCGCCTCCCCCGTTGCATCTACGCCTGCAGTGAGCGTCTGGGCCCAGTCCCCCAGACCGTCCCTCCAACACCTCGCACTCAGCCACAGCCCCACCCCATCACACCCTCGACATCAGCAGGCGCAATGCGGCTGGCCACCTGCAACACCCTGCCCGCAGCAGCAGCAGCAGCGGCGGCGGCGCCGCCGCTGCGCTGGCGGCCGCTGCTGGCGGCGGGCAGCAGCCTGGCGGCACCACACGCCCTGGCCGGCAGCTGTGAGTTGCATCACTGATTGCATGCTGCGCGGACCTGCAGCATGCTGAGCTGTAGCACGTTGACGCTCTGCTGGCCTTGACCTAACCCCGCACTCGCGCCCCACCTTGCGCCAGGTCTGTGCCGCCGGCGCCGGCAGGCCGCAGCAGCTCCAGCAGCAGCAGCACTAGACTTTGCGACCGGCGGCTCCGGCAGCGGCGGGCTGGAGCTGCTTGCGCTGCCGCCGCAGGCGGCGGCGCAGCTGGTGGGGGAGGTCGGCGACGGCCTGGAAGCTCCTGTGCAGCTGGCGTACCTGCTGACCCTCATGGGGTTCCTGGTGGTGGGCGCCTACCTGGTGGTGCGCCAGGTGCTGATCAGGCGGGAGCTGGAGGAGGCGGCCAAGGTGCTGGGGGAGCGCGTGCGCACCAACGACGCTACCAGCGAGGTGGGGAGGGCGGCGTGGCTGGGTGGGGCGTGGGCATGGCCTGGCCGAGCGGGCTGGTGTCGGCAAGCAGGGAGCTCCTGAGCCCGCGTGGCGCCCGCGTGGCGCCCGCAGCCAGCACAGTGGCAGGGGAACATGCATGACTGCATGCTCAGCGTGCCGTGGGGGCCCTCCCTTACCGGGGCAGAGCGGCTTGCAGGTGCCTGGCCCAACACAGGCACCCGCCCTCATGCTGCTGCCTGCCCGCCCCGCCCCGCCCAACCCGCGCAGGACTACTTTGAGCTGGGCGTGATCCTGCTGCGCAAGAAGCTGTACACCCAGGCCACCAAGAACCTGGAGAAGGCGCAGAAGAACTGGCAGGGGGAGCCTGAGGAGCTGGCGCAGGTGAGGGCCGCGCCGGAGGGGGGCTGCGCCCCTGCGGGCAGGCAGGCAGCCGAGGGCGGGCTGGAGGAGGTGGGAGAGGCGGTGCACACCTGCGCTCAATCTGCAGCTGCTTCATTTGATGGTCATCCGATGTGGGTCCCTGCCCGCGGTACCGTACCGCCGTGTCACGCAGGTGCACAACGCGCTGGGCTTTGCCTTCTTCAACATGGACAAGGTGGACGCCGCCATCGACCAGTACCGCAAGGCCGTGGACCTGCAGCCGGGATACGTGACGGGTGCGCTGCAGCATGCCGTGACCGCAGGCGCCTGCCAAGGGCAGCCAGCCCGGCCGGGTGGTGTGGTTCGAGACGCTGCCGTTTGTGGCGCGTGGCATGTGCTCCTGCGCTCGCCCTGCCGCTTCTCAACTTGTACTGCGTGCCTGCCCCTGCTTTGCCGTGCAGCCTGGAACAACCTGGGCGACGCGTACGAGCGCAAGAAGGACTACTCGCCCGCGCTGGCGGCGTACCGCGAGGTGCTCACCTATGCGCCGGACAACAAGGTGGCGCAGGCGCGCAGCGAGTACTGCCGCACCCGCATCGAGCGCACCGCCTGAGGCGGCGCCTGGGGGAGCCGACTGGCCTGGCTGCGGCAGCCGCAGTGAAGAGCGGCGTGCTGGTGTGTGCCGGTGATGCATTGGACGTTACATGCAAATGTCGGTTAGGAGGGAAGCATATGCAAGCAATCGTGCGCACAACGTAAACGCAGGCACATGAGACGAGCAGCCATAGCATTGAGGGAATTGCGGAGGCAGGCACGGCTCTCCTTGCAAATCGCCCCGGACAGGCACAGAGGTGGGAAGGGACAGCAGACAGCAGCAGGGCTGCGCAGGACAGAACACGGGAAGAAATGCAGATGGGTTGGGAAGGGAGAGGAACAGCTTGGGCTGCTGGTGCCCTGCCTTTGGAGAAGATTCAAAACTGCCCAAGGGTGGTTGGCTGGGTGCACAGCCCCCGCTGCCCATGGCCGGCACCTTGATGGGGTAGCCTGGGCCGGGCTGATGCATGAGAGGGCAGCATCACCGCGTGGCAGCAGGGCTCCTCTCAGGGCTCCTCGGGGCCGCGCGGGTCTGCTTCCTGCACCCCCGGCAGCACCACGCGGGCGCCGCCCTTCCTGATCAGGCCCCTCTTGCCTGCAAGTGCCAAGGTCGCCAGCAGGGCAGCGGCGCCAGACACTGAGCATGGTCCGGGGTCCCGTCAGCACACCCTTGCAGATGGCGGAGAGCAGGAACCTGTCGGTAGCCACCCACGGTACCGCACAGTCTTGACCAGCCCACCTGGCTCAATGGACAAGCTGTCCGACATCCTGCTGCGAGCCGTGGCCATGGAGGCTGTGTCCATGTCGCTGCCATCGTCCGCCGTGTGGCCACCCGCCACGCTGGGGGCCAGGGAGGAGACGTCGCTCAGGGCGGGCTCGATGCGCCGCTGGGAGAAGGAGCCAGCTGCAGCAGTTGGTGGTGGTGGCAGCACCGCTGGGCGCGGCAAAGGTTACTAGTTTAATCTCAGGTAGCCGCTGAAGCTGGTGATGGCCTGTGCAGGCCATCACCCCAGGGGATGCATGCCTGGCGTGCAGCCTCCCTGCTGAACACTCCGGCCGACCCTCTCCTTCACAGACAGTCTCCAATGTTTTGGCAACCTGAGCAGGCACCCCGCTCACCCGCAGCAGAGTCCTCATAGGCCATGCTGCTCACGGGCAGGCTCTTGCCGGAGGACAGCTGGATGCTGTGGCCAGCGGAGGAGCGCGGAAGGGCAGCCGGGCCGCTGCGGTCGGCCCCTAGCGGCACGCCCGCCTCGGCGTTGGTGAAGGCGGCGCCAGGGAAGGCATTGTCCTCGTATCGTTCAAAGCGGTTGCTGCAAGGACAGAGTTATTGTGATCAAAGTGGTGCAGGGATGTGGAAGAGTGCGGGGAAGGGGAGGCGGAACAAGGTGATTCAGACAGTGTCTGCTGCTGCCGGTCCACAGCAGGCTCACCGCCGCTTGCGGAGGCCAGCAGCCAGCAGGGCGAGCAGGGTGACAACGGCCACGCCGGCGCCGATGCTGGCAACCACGATGCCCGCAATCTCGCCGCTGGTCAGCCCGACGTGGCTGGACTGGCTGGGGTCGGCAGCCATGGCAGACGAATCGGGGCTGCCCTCGGCAGCAGTGACCAGCGGCACGCCTGCAATGCAGGAGGTTCCAGTAAGGCAGCATGGCTCCGGCATCGGCCAGGGCCACAGGGCGTGTGGTGGGCCTGCATTTGTGCATGTGGCAGCCCCACCTGTGCCGTTGGTTCCGTTCTGGCTGTACGCAGCATACAGGCCCGCGACATGGTCAGGCGTCAAGGCCTCGTTGAAGAGCATGAGGTGGGCCACGCTGCCGTCGAAGAACCTGCGCAAAGAAGGACGGACCGACAAGCAGCGGCAGTCTCATGTCATCTGCTAATGCACACAGGATCAGCGCAGCGTACGGCAGAATGGAGAGAGCAGAGGGGCGCACAGCACAGCACAGCACAGCACAGCACAGCACAGCGGCCTCTGCGGCGCCTGCACCTGTCTTCATCCAGGTCGCTCCTGGCGCACAGCACGATGTCGTCGGCCAGGCGGGCAGGGTCGCCCCCCGTGACCGCCGCAGCGCTGCCGTTGTTCAGCTTGGTGGAGGGGCTCAGCTCGGCAACCTGCACAGCCGCCCAGTAATCGCTTGTACTCAATGCCACACTGATCACGACGCTCTGGTAGCGCGCAGAATGCTGCGCCTGCCCATCATGATCAGCAGCTGCCAAGCCCGAGGTAGCAGGACCCACCTGCTGGCCGTCCACAAACAGGGTAAACCCAGGGGTGTCGTTGGCATGAGTGGACACGGTCACCATGTGCCAGCCTCCATCATTCACGTCTGCAGACAGCCGGCAGCAGGCAGGGCGGTGCAGCTCAGTACCGCACCTTTCGCCGGCAGTGCAGCGACACGGCGCTGCCTTCCCAGCCTGGCCCCCGGCTCGGAGCCTCCCATCCACAAGAGGGCGCCTCGCCTGCATGCTTGGCCTTGCGGCCTCCCGCATCATTGCCCAGCGTGCCGTCGCTGTCCATGAAAGTGGGCTCCGCCCAGCGGCCGCCGGTGTCATTGGCATCGCTCACAATCACGCGCACCACGCCGTACGCCGGGTGGCCGCGGTCTGGCAGGTAGATGGCCACCTGGCGTGCCATGCATGTGGGTGGGTGGGGAGGGCACAGCATGGCAAGTGCAAGAGGGCCGCCAGGTCAGCCCAAACACGACGGGGGAATGAGCGGCGGGGGCATACAAGGCCCTGGGTCTGCCCGCAATGTCCCGTTCAGGCATCAGGCTGGCAAAGCCCAACGTGCTGCTGAGGCTCGCCACGTTCGTCAATGCTGGGGCTCAGCGCCTCGGCGGTCGGAGGCGCAGAATGCCAGTAGAGAGGGACGCGGCGAGCCCCAGCAGCAGGAAGATCTGAGCCAGCCTGCCGGCCTCGTCGGAAGCCAAAGCGACAGCGGCGGCTGTTGAGCACATCATACAGATGCCAGCCTCGGCAGCCTCCAGCGGCGCACCTTGTTGGGCGCCTGGCCGGTGGTCTGGCCGCCCAGGCCGGTGTGGGAGTAGAGGTACTGAAAGAGCTCGCCGCTGGTGTCGCTGCCTGGCAGGCGCTGCATCCAAAGGCTGACGGCAAAGCTGCCGTTGGAGGCATATGGCACAGTGTCCAGCATCACCGCGCTCTGCGCCTCCTGCGCAGGCTTCAGGAGGGGTGCTTGCTGGTGAGATGGCCGGCACTGGCACTCAGCCTTTGAACTTCCAACAACTTCAGCCTTGGCGCGTCAGGCAGATCAAATAATGGTCTAAAGCTAGACGTTAAAACCGGGAAGTTAAGCCTGTGGAGGCTCTTCCCCACCTTTACCTTTACCTTTATCAGCCGAGGTGCAGGCGGACCCGCGCAAGCTGCCCCCACTCCTCTCTCCGGCATGCTCTCACCCTGGTGCAGTTGATGACGCTGCCAAAGGTGGGGTCTTGGTGCCAAGTGGGCAGTGGGATGCCGCTGAGGCTGCCGTTGTAGGCGGGCAGCAGCAGCGACTCCAGGGAGCCGCTGGTGAGCGGAAAGTAGGCCAGGGGGGTGGGCGCTTTGGCCAACTGGAGGCAAAGGATCAGGGGCGGAAGGCAAAGATCTAACAGGGGGCAGTTAATGGGACCGGTGACAAACTGAAACACTTGCAGACTCTGAACCGACAACACGCCCATTGCAGCTTCTGGCAGCAACTTGCCGAGCAGCGCTGACCTGGAGGTACTGCAGAGAGCCAAAGGTGCCGCCCGCCGGCTCCTCGGTGCAGAAGCCCAGCCCCGCCAGGCTGGTGCTCACGTTGGGGCTGAGCTGTGGCAGCGGCGCGCACGTGTAGTTGGCGGCGCAGTTCTGCGCCGGCTGGTCGGAGGGCACCACCGGGCACAGCATGCCCAGGCGGCCAGGCGCGGTGCGGTTTAGAGCCACGGCAGCGCTGCAGATGGGGGAGCAGGCAGGGCATGCAAGGCTTGGCATTCATTGCGTGGGCAGGAAGCGAGTAAAGCGAGCGGTCAGCAATTCCTTAACGGCATGCCCCAGCTTGCCTGAATGGCTGTGGGTCGGGCTGCTCCTGGCCCGTGAAGCCCGAGTTGGAGCACAGCTCCCATGTGGCAGCCTGCACAGCGACAGCAGGCAGGTTGGTTCCTGGGGAGGCACAGCCGGAATTGGACCACCTGCTAGCAGAAGGTGCCTGGCTATGCGCAGGAAGGTCGGGGCGCCAGAGCCAGGGGTGCAGGACGATTGCATCTCACCTGCGTGGGGCAGATTTCGGCGGTGCCGGTCTGGGCATCGCTGTAGTCGACACAGTCGAAGAAGAGGTGGCCCCGGAAGACAGCGGGCAGCAGGCAGGCCTCGCCGCTCGTGGTGGTGCGCTGCAGGGCGGCAAGAGGGAGGAACGCCATCAGATGTTGTCCGCTGCACCTTGCGCCGCCTTGCCCTGTCAACCGATGCTCAAGCAGGTCTGGCCAGCAGGAATGTGCGCGGGGCCTGCCACCGACCTGCGTAACCAGCAGCTGGCCCTGGTCGTCGGTGGGCGGCGGTGAGCTGCCCAGGTCGCACTGCTGCCAGCTGAGGGAGGAGTCGAGGCAGGACCAGGTGCCGTTGCGGTCGATGCAGTCGTCCAGGATCTCGCCCTGCAGGCGGTACCATCAGCATGCAGTGCAGCTTCAGATGACCATGCCAACAGAGAGACACAGAGGCCGCAGCGCTGCTTGAAGGCGGCCACGGCAACTGATCGAGGCATGTGCAGCAGCTCACGACCACAAGTGTAAGACAACACTGGCCTGGTACACAACAGGCAGCTGGCAGGCGTCGCCCGAGGCAGTCTGGCGGGAAATGGAGGGCACCACATGCAGCGCCACGGAGGAGGCTGGCACGCCGAGCTCGCCGCCCTCGGGCTGCGCCCATAGGGGGCAGGGGATGAATCGGCAAACACCAAGTCAGCGACCACTCAATAGCTTGCCTTCTGTCAGAACGCAGATGAATGAGTGATCATGGGGCAGGGCCGCTGCTGCCATGCGAACCAACCTGTGTCTCCATCAAGTCGGTAGGGCAGCCCTCCCAAGAATCAGTCTCCATACCCCAGCACTGGTAGGAGCCGTCAATGTTGACGCAGCCATCCACCTGCAGGCACAGCAGGCAGGTGGGGAGATGAGGAGGCACTCATGGCACAGCTCTGAGCTCCTGGTCATAGGTGTAGCTTGGCAGCTCTGCCCTTACCCGCCTGCAGCATGGCTCCCCACCTGCATGCCATTGTATCGGAGCGGCAGCTGGCACTGGGCTCCGCTGTCAGCTATGATGATGGGCGAGGCGGCTGCGCTGGGGTCGCTGCTGCTTGGCTCCTCGGCGGCAGACGAGGGCGGCGCCTGGGACGGGTCTGAGCTGTACATTGGCCCGCCGGTGGAGGCGGCAGCGACCTCGCCCCCGAGCGGCACGCACTCCTCCCACACATTCTCCTCAATCTGCAGGCAGGAGAGTCAGGCAGGCAGGCGGGTGAGCACAGACCTTCCATCGTGGCAAAGCAAGCAGAGCGTCGGACACGCATCAGAACCAGACACATGTGCCAGGTCGCCTTCAGGGCACACCGCCGCGCTCCAGGGGCAACACACCTGGCAGAACGACATGCCCTCAACCGTCACGCAGTCGGTGGCCAGCTCTCCATTGTACAGCGCGGGGAACTGGCAGCGCTGCCCACTGATGGAGAACCGGGTGATGTTTGCGCCTGCGTGTGCAGCAGAAGGCGCGGCGTGGCACATTGCAGTGCGAGAAGAGTGGCGCGGCTTGCCGACCAGTGCATGTTCGATGGAGGCAGCCTGCTGCACGCCCAGCCCTGGCAGGTGCCCACCTGAGCTCGGCGACAGGACGGGCAGCTCGGGGCCGGCAGGGGTTATTGTGCTGCTGGAGGTGGCAGCTCCCATGTTGCGGGACACTTCAGAGTAGAGCAGCCTGCAGGAACAGAACCAAACGCGATGGTGGCATCAGCTACGCCACACAGTACCAAGCAGCAGTTCTCAGCCAGCATCGCCTGCTCAGCTCAGCAGGCACCACACAGCGCGTACTGCACCCGACTTGTGTCTCGTCCAGGGCTGTGTCGTGCAGGCCCAGGTGCGCCAGCTGGCCGTCGTAGTGGCGGCCGCCGGGGTCATCAGAGCGCACACACAGCACCACGTTGCCATCCAGCAGCATGGGGTCCCCGCCGTCAATCTGCGGCGGCAGCCATGGTGAGGGGGAGCACGAAGCAGGCGTGGGCAACGCGCAGCGCAGATCGACAAGTCACCACGCTGACCGGGGTGACTGGTGTGGCTTTGCACAGAGTCGACAGGGGTGTAGCGGTGTGACTGGTGCATGCGCCGGCGGGGCACTCTGCGGCACAGGCTCACCGGGATGGGGAAGCCCTCCGGCGACACGTAGCTGCGTCCCTCAGCCACCTCCCCCGCCAGCTGGCCGTCGAGGTACATGCGATAGCCCCTGCCGCCGCCGGGCTGACTAGTCAGGGTGGCCATGTGCCAGTCGCCGTCAAACAGCGAGGGCGACTGGGGGCTGGTGGAGCGCTCGCCGTTGTAAGCCACGTTTCCGTCTGCAGTCACCGAGACATGCACAGGTTCTCTCTCAGGGCACAAGGAAATGGCGCCAGGGTACAGGGCAGGGCCGGGCACGGCCTGTCTAGGCCATCTTACGCCACCCACCCGAGTCCAGCCAGGTCTGTGCTCCCATGGAGGTGGGCTGATCGTCGAAGTCCTTGACAATGGCGCGCACCACGCCGTACGCGGGGTGCTCCTCCTGGGGCAGGTACATCTGCAGCGGGCAGGTGGTGGGGGTGAGAGATGATGGAGTCAGGTAGACAGCAGGGGAGAACAAAGGATGGAGTCGGCAAGAAGCTGGTCCGGCAATCAGTCTGCCGCAAGGAGTGAAGAGGGTGTATCAAAATCTGCCAGCTGCGACAGCGCCCTGCCTGGATCTGGTTGGGGCCCCAGCCGGTGTTGCTGGCGGCGCTGGAGTTCTGGGAGGTGCCTCGGTGGGAGAAGAGGTAGCTCAGCGAGCTGCCTGCAGGGCAAGAGCAGGCGACGGCGGCAAGGAGCCGGTCGCAAGCGAGTCGGTGTCGAGCCAGGGCAGGCGCCTCGGCTGCTGCGGCGCTGCCTCTTCCTGCACCGCCAAGGCGACCTGCCTGCACCCTACTGCAGAAGGGCACGCTGCCTCGCCTGACATGTTCTCTGGCTTGAACCACAGGTTGATGGAAAAGGCGCCGCTGCGGGCGTACTGCACCGGGTCCAGGGCCACCAGGTCGCGGTCGCTCTGGGTGCACAGCAGGGCGGAGCCAAACAGGGGGTCTCCCACCACCCCGGCGCCGCTGGCGGAGCCGGTGTGCTCCGGGAGCGGGAAGGACTGGAGTGTCTGCAGGTTGCAGCAGGGGCAACGAAAGGCAACATGTCGCCGGCTTCTATCTTGATGTACACCGCAGGGGGGCGAGCTGTCAAGTTACCTGGGAGTTCAAAGGAAAGAAGGCCATGGCTGGGGGCACATCAGTCGCGTTGGGCAGCATCAAATCCTGCACGCAGCAAGCGGCAGGCAGATGGGCAGGCAGCAACAATCAGCGGGAGGCGCTTCACTTCCTGCAATCGCGCAGCCTGCTGATCCAAGAGGATGCCACGACTTGGGGTGCTATGCGCGGGCAGCCCAAGAGCCTCACGTGCGGCATGTAGGCGCACACGCCGATGTCTCCCACATTGAGCGGCAGCTGGCCGCCAAAGTTGGCCGCAATCTGCTGCCGGGACAGCGGGGCGCAGATGTAGCCGGCGGCGCAGGCCTGGACTGTGGAGACCCCTGCAGGCCCACAACAGAGAGCTGGGAGGTGAGCTGCATCAAAAGAGCGGCAGCCTGCACGTTTGACACACCTTCACCACAGGCTGGCAACCCAGCCTCACCTTGAATTGGGCTCTCTGAGCACAGCGGCTGCCCGCCCAGCTGAGCCACACCCTGACTGGGGTCGCTCCCAGGCTGCTGGGCAGCCGCCGGCGGCGAGTCTGGAGCAACGGCAGCAGCGCCTGCCTGCTGCTGCTCCGCCGCACCGATCACCGGGGCCCCAGTCGAGGTGTTGCTGGCCGTGCACTGGCGCACCTGCCCGCCTGCTGCAAGGCACACCGGCACCCCATTATCGTCGGCGCAGCTTGTGATGCAGCCAGGCGCCGGCTGGAAGCCTGCGGCCACTGCCTGCTGCGCCGCACTGGCGGGATCGACTGAGCTGGCATCAGTTGCGCCAGGGCTGGCAGCCGCCTGGTCGGCCCCAGCAGGCACCGGTGCCGCCGCTGGCGAGGCGCTCTGCGACTGGGGCTGCCCCGTCTCGTAGATCTGCGGGCACAGGGCGACCGACTGGAGTCATCCATGAGGTGAATGAGCTGCCTGGCCTGCCAACCTGCTCCCACGGCAAGGGATAGATGCTGACGCCATGCTTGGTGGCATGCAGGCTCTCACCAGGCGCATCTGGTCGGGGGTGAGCGAGGTGTTGTAGATGAGCAGGTGGGCGATGCTGCCCCCGAAGAAGCGCTGCGGGGTGTTGGGAAAATGGGTGGAACAATCAGGAACAAGGAGATGTGTGTACGTTCAGAATGGAAGCAGGAGAGAGCTGATCAGCTGATAACCGCCATCGACGCACTGTTGGCTCCAGGTCGGACCGGCTGCACAGGGTGATGTTGCCCGTCAGGTTCATGGGCCCGCCGCCGGTGGCAGTCTTGGTGAAGCCCTCCGCATCTGCAGGCAGCCGAGTGCCAAAACTTGTGTCCTTGTCAATCGCCAGCGCGGCTAGGACGGGCGGCTTGTGCAGGCGGCCCTGTTGGCTGGCACGACTGGCAGCAGCGCGGCGCGCCTGGGTACAGGACACCCTCCTTGGCCTCCGCCGCCAGCGTGCCGTTGACGTACAGCTGGAAGCCCTTGCCGCCGCCGGGCCGCGTGGACAGGCCCAGCAGGTGCCACTGGCCCTCGGCCGCAGCCTGCGTGGCCAAGGAGGAATGGCGTGGGGATTGGTGGGTGGGCGGGTGGGTGATCGGGAGGCCAGGAGCGCTGGGGAGACCAGCAGGCACCCCTGATGCTTACACCTGCTCCACTCCCATCCTGCCTCCCACGCCGCCCAAGCTCACCAGGTTGGCGGCGCCGGCGGCAGCGGGGGTGCAGGCTGCGCTGGAGGCCACGCAGCCGGATGAGTCGAGGTAGAATGGGTCGGTGCCGTTGGTGCGCACGTCGGTGGCGTCACGTAGCATGGCCCGCGCCACGCCAAAGTCGGGATGGTCGCGCTCGGGGAAGAACACAGCCACCTGCGGGGCGATGGAGGGCCGGCGGGCAGTCAGGCGGTGTGGCGGTGTCGGTGCAGCAAGACTCGCGGGAGGGGGCTGGATGAATCGGCACGGCCGCCCCTGGCCGAGGTCACTCGAAACCAGCTAGGCTGGCAAAGCACATGGCGCCGCAGACGCTGCCCGGAGGGCTCACCCTGCTGGTCCGGACCCCTCCCTGCACCCTAGGCCTCCCCGCCCGGCTCCCAGGCTGCCCCCAGCCCACCGTGTTTGGGTCGAAGGCGTAGTCTGTGTTGGCGGCGTTGGTGTGGGAGTAAGCGTAGTCCATTGAGGCGCCGCTGTGGGGACGCACCTTGGCCCAGAAGGCCACAGCCAGCCCGCCGCCCTGGCCGTACTCCAGCCCGGGGATGGACACGTAGCTCTGGCGCGCCTGCAGGCCAGTCGGGCGGGCAGGGGCGGGCAGGGCGGGCGGCCGCAAGGGGGGTTGGCAAGAGGTATCGTCCAAGGGCAGGGGAAATGGTGTGGCCGACCGGGTTGGGCGAGTGGAGGCGGCAGAGCGGGCCGCACAAGAGTTGTTCCTCCTTCGGGGCGCCTGCAGCTGCCTCACCTCGTCGCACGCCATGACCTGCCCAAAGGCGGGGTCCTCCACCCAGTCCAGGTTGTGCGCCACGCCCTCGTAGGCGGCGGCAGGGTAGGAGGAGGTCACGTCGGAGGAGAGCAGGGGGAAGTAGGCAGCGGCGGCGGGCAGGTCGGTGCCCGTGGCGGCGGCACCGGCTGGGCTGGTGTCGGTGGACTGAGCAGCCTGCACAGGCAGGGAGAGCGAGAAGGCAGGGATCAGCGTCCAAGACTGCATCCAGCAGAGCAACAGCACCCCGGAGCAAAACGCCCTGCGCGTGCCTGCTGGTGGAGGTGCCGCGCTGCCGCCGCGCCGCGCCCCGCCACCGCCACGAGCAGCAGCAGGGACGCAGCTGCCGTTGCCCTGGGTTGGAGTGGGCGCCTCATGCGCAGCTGCTGTGTGTTCTCAGCTGGGTGAAGGTGGGGCTGGGTTGGCCGCAGTCTTGGGAGGGGCCGAGGTCGGGCTGGCCTGCTAGCTGGCCTCTAAGGCTGTGCCAGGTGCCTAGTGGCCTACCAGGCCAAGGTTTGGGCTCGCCAGAGGCTGGGCGCGGCGGGTGCGTTGTGCTCGTCCTAGCGGCAGCACACTTTTGATGCAGCCGTGTGTTGTCTTGGAAAGAACGGGGAGCTGCGCCTGATTAAAAACAAAGAGAGGTTGGCAGCAGTACAGTTTGCCTCATGACGCTGCGGCGGCGCTCCCTGTGGCTTTTCCCTCCCTGCCAAACTCTGCCACAGGGGTCAAATGCTGAATTGCGGTTGTGTGCCGACCTGCCAGCGGGTGCAGCATTAAAGCTGGCTGATGGCGGGAGGCACCTTCTCCAGATCACCGGCATGGCGCTGAGGAGCCGTACTGCTGAACAAGGCGCTGCGTGCTGGGAGACCAGCGGCGGGGCGCTGCATGCAGGGTGCTCAACATTGCGGGGGGTTGCCGCGGCTGGTGCTCGATGCCCCCAGCGGCCCAGTGATGCAGGCACGCCAGGCATGCGGTGTGCAGCCTGCGCCTCTCACGCACTGTAGTCGCCTCCATGACATGCCGCCCCCTCCCCTGATTGAGAGAGATTGACCGCCACCCCGCCCACCTGCCGCTGGCCACTGCAGTGCACCCCAGCGTGGCGCATGTGCTGGCCACGCAGTACCGCAGCCTGGGCGGCCTCCATGATGGATGTCCTGCTTGACCCCACAAGGTGGGCCCCGCTGCCCAGCACGCTGCCGCCACTGTGTGATAGGCTCTGAGGCTCAGTCGTCCACCACAGCCACCGCACAATTGCCGTAGGCCGCTCGAACGACGCGGGGGTCCTGCAATGCAGACAGCAGATTGGTGGGGAGTCCGTCCCAGCAGAATTCGCCGTCTCGGGCCAGCGGGGCTCATTCCAACCTCCGCCTCTTGTAGCGCCTGCAGCCGCATCTGATCCAGAACGGTCCGTGGCATGATGCCGTCACGATGGCCAAAAAGGCAGCTGGCCGTCAGGAGGAACAGGGCCGTCGGGAGGAACCTGCGTCGGCTGATTGGCGCCGCCGCCACCTGTCGCAGAGTTGAGACAGCTGTAGTCTGTAGCCGAATGGCCACCAGCAACCCGTTAGTAGTTTAATTGCTCTGACAAGCAACACAGAGAGAGGCCTGTTAGGCTGTGCCTGCTTGACAGCCGCGGCCGGCTGCAGCGACCGAAGATCCCAAGGACCGGCTTGATCAAGCCTCAGAACACTCCCATCGGTATCCTGCAGTTTGTGGGGGCGATGGACGACACCCCTGCCGCCGCTCGGGACTCGGACCCAGTGCAGGCGCTGTTTGAGCGGCACCTGGGACCTCCCAAGCAGCTGCCAGGTGTCCTGCGAGCCAGCACCAGCAGCGAGGGCGCGGCGCGCAGGTGCGCACCGTGCGCCGCCGCCGCTCCCGCCCACTGCCCTCCCGCCCCTCCTGCCACTACCACACCTTTGTCAGTCTCCGTGGCACAGCCCCGCACGTCACCCACGGCACGCTCTGCTCGCAGGGAGGAGGAAGAGCTGAGGTTCAAGATGTCGCGAGGGCGAGCCCTCGACTACCAGGCCGTGCCGAGCGTGGGCGCGCTGCTGGGCCTGACGTACCACCCCGCTCGCCAGCCGCCGCACAGCGTGCGGCGCAGGGGCCAGCAGCCTGCGGCGGCGCAGCCCGCGCACTCCACGCTGTGGGCCCTGGTGCAGCCCACGGACGCGCTGGGCATCAACACGGCACTCAGTGCGTCCGATGCGGGCGCCAGCAGGCTGACCGGGTTTGCGGGCTGGACGCAGGAGGGGTTTGTGGACGTGACGCGGCGGGCCAGCCTGGAGTACATCCTGACGCAGCGCCCCGCCAGCGGCCTGGCGGCGGAGCTGGACCTGTTGTCCACGTGAGCATGCTGCGCCTGCTGCTGCTGCTGGGCTGGCGGCGCTGCCTGCCTCGCACGCGAGCTGCCACCCTCAGTTGGGTTTGCGGCAGCTGCCTGGAGAGGGACGCGTCTCACTGCAGTTGAGGCATGCCTGCCGGCCCCGCCTGCAGGCTGCCCAAGCTGCCCCTGCTGCCACAGCTGACGGCGAGGCACCGCATGGCGGCGTCCCAGTCCACCACAGGCGTGCAGCACAGCAGCACGCTGAGCGCTCCGCTGCTGCGCGGCACCGCGGTGGCGCGGCTGCATGTGCAGGAGCCGGCCTTGGGGGCTGCGGCGGCTGGCAGCACGCTGACGCTGGAAGTGGAGGGGCGCGGCAAGCGCAGCAGAGGGCTGGCAGGCAATGTCAAGCTCTCGCCGACGCTGTTGGGTGCATTCCATGGCACCAACGGCGGCGGCAGCAATGGGAGCGGCAGTAACGGCAGCAACACCACCAGTCGGAGCGTGAGCGACAGCGACGATGAATGCGGCAACAGCAGCAATGGAGGGGGCAAGGCGGAGCAGCGGCGGCAGCACATGCCAGGCCTGCGGCTGCAGATGCAGCCCACGGCTGTGCGCAGCTGGGAGGACGTGAGTGGCAGGTGGCAGCAGGCCTGGGGTGGCGCTGTGAGAAGCACGCTGGGCTACCAGGCGCAGCAGCGGCGATGGAGCCTGGAGCTTGGCCACAAGCTGAGTGGCAAGGTGACCGCCAGCGGCTCGCTGGCATGGGACGGCCCAGTCGGCCTGGCGGCGTCGGCTGCTGGTGGGGCGGCTGGCGACGATGCGCAGCACCATCTGCTGGCCCGCCTGCGAAGCTATGCAGATGGCAGCAAGCTGCGGCGGGCGGGGCTGAAGCTGGCGTGCCGCCTGCCGCCGCCGCCGGCGGGTGCGGCGGGGACCAAGCCCCAGCGGCGGCAGCTGCAGCTGGAATCGCATTACGACGCTGAGGTAGGGGAGGCCACACACGGGCTGAAGCTGAGGCTGGGCGGCCGTGGCGGTGCCGACTACCGGCAGCAGCACCGCCGCTACGAGCTGAGCCTGCAGACCCGGCCGCGGCAGAGGCAGCTTGACGTCACGCTCGATTTTTTCACCCCGCTGTGACCTGCTCTCCCTCCTCCCTGACCGCCTCCCTCTCTTTTTGCAGACCCCCAAAGTTTAACTGACTGACTGACACAAGTTGTAACCCTATATGTTGCACCGATTCGAATAACAACACAGTGCTGCAGTGCAACAGGCATGGCGCCGAGCCACACCGCCAGCGCACAGCGCAGCGTAGCAGGCAGCGACTTGCTCACGATTTGTAACATGAGTTGTGACTTCTGCACATTTCCACAGGTTGTTTGGCTCGGGGAAGCAGCGTTTGTTGCTCAAGCCCCGATGGGCCCGCTGGACAAGTGGCTGCACCGCCCGCCCCTGGAGCCAGTGCAGCCCACATCCAGCAGCGGCGATCAGCGCGGCGATCAACAAACCGCGGAGCCCCCTGCGAGCTCAGCTGAGCAACAGAAGGCGCCAGCCGGCACGCTGCGCGCTTTTCTGGTCAAGCTGGATGCAGGTACAGCGTCCCGGGAGTCCGATGGCATCGAGGAGGCACCAGCCAGGGCCAGGCGGCGGGCCCATGGCGCCAGGTGCGCTGGCGGCGACAAAGGCGGCGGCAGGTTGCGGCTGCCTGAAACTGCAAGGTCCTCGCACTCCACCACTGTCTGCTCTCTGACCTGTTCCTGCTTGCGCTGGCGCAGGAGCGTCCTGGACTGGAGGCTGACCGGCAGCATGCACAGCAGCGCAGCCGCCCTGCTGCACCACCGCCACGCCGCCGCCTTTCGGCAGCTGGCCATCCTCGAGTCGCACGCCTGGCAGCGCCCGGTGCTGGGCGGCACGCCGCTGTCCCCGGAGGAGGCCGGCAGCATCCAGGCCGCGGCCTTCGACAGCCAGGGCGAGCTGCTGGTGGCGGGGAGCGAGGAGGGGCTGCTCACAGTGCACAGCACGGCGCAGCTGCTGGCTGCAGCGGCCGCCGGCGGCACCTTGGCCGCCCCGGTGCCGCCGGGGCAGCAGGCGGTGGGCACCGCAGACCCGCTGCTGGTGCTGGACACGCACCTGCCCAAGCTGCAGGCGGTGGGGTGGAACCCAGCGGACGAGAATGTGGTGGGGGTGGTGTCCTCGGCCACCCGCCAGCTCCACCTGTATGACCTGCAGCACACGCAGGTGGGTGGTGGCTGCGGGGGGCATGCAGCAGCGGCGCTGGCTCCTTTGCTGTCCGACTGTGGAAGCTGCACACCGGTGCTGCATTGACCCCCGGGGCGGCGCTGCCACCCCAACCGTCTGCCGGGGCGTGAGCCGCGACGTTTGATTGCTCTCCTTCCTGCCGCGCCGCCTTGCAGGGGCTGGCCAAGCAGGTGCTGGCCGTCCCTCAACAGGCGGCGTCGGCGGTCGGCCTCACAGACCTCGCTTTCTTTGGCGGCGGCGGCGGGTCCAGCGGCGGCGGCGGCGGCTACGTGGTACTGGCCTCTGGCATGGGGGGCCAGGTCTTCCTGTGGGACACTCGAGCCAAGGCGGCACCCTCGGCCACGCTGCAGGCCGCGCAGTGCGGCGCCATGTACGCTGTGCAGCTGGTGCCAGATCAGCAGGTGGTGCTGGCCGGGACGCAGAGCGGCGAGGTGAAGCTTTGGGACCTCAGGTGGGTTGTGGTGAAGCCCTGTGCGCACAGCAACTGCTGCCGCCGCCCGCGCCCGCTGCGCCAGGGGTGCGCTAGTAGTAGTGTGGGCCCTGCTTGCTGGTATGTCCACTGCTGGAGCCGCTGCCGCCGCCCTGCCGCAGGGGCGGCAGCACCAGCACGCTGCGGTTTGGCGGCAGCGTGCACCACCACCCGCTGCTGGCGGCCTTCAACATCCGCCACGCGCTGACCGGCGTGCCGGGGCTGGCCAGCCAGACCGCCATCCCCGCCAGCGGCATCCACTCCATGCAGCTGGACCCTAGCGACCCCCGCCGCCTCGCTTTCCACCTGGGCTGCGGCTGGTCGGGCGTGCTGAGCTTGCACGGCGCCACCGCCGGCAGCGGCGGCAGCAGCAGCGGCAGCGGCGGCAGCATCACGCACCTGCACGCGCCCGCCCACGCCCACCCCGACCAGCCGCTGGGCTCGCAGGAGGGCGGCGCTGCGGCTGCCACCGCCAGCGTGGCGCAGATGCTGCTGTGGGCCTCCACTGCAGCGCCAGGTGGGGCAGACAGCGGCGCATTGCCTGGCCCACAGCTGTGCTTGCCCTGCCGGCAGGACCTTGTGCTGTAGTACTGGTGCAGTATCCACGTCCACTTTGAGGTCCTGTCACCTGAGGAACTTGCGCCCAGCCCGCCCTGCTGCAGGCCTGCACCGCCACGCCTGCTGGCTGCCCGATGGCCGCCGCTACTGCGTGCCCTCGCGCCGGGGCGACACGCTGCTCTTGCTGGACTTTGCTGCCTCCCCAGCGGCCGGCTGCTATGCGCTGAGGGATGAGGAGGAGGAGGGTGGGGAGTACGTGGGTGGCAGCAGCAGCAGCAGCAGCAGCAGCAGTGGGGGCCGGGCAGGGGCAGAAAGACGAGTGCACGTGCCGCCCGCGGCGCAGATGCCGCTGAGCCAGGCGGCGGTGTGTGCTGCGGCGCACCCCTGCATAGACCTGCTGGTGGCGGGCAGCATGAACAGCTGCCTGTCGGTGGCTGGCCTGAGCTGACCCTGCCGGCACTGCTTTGTTTTGACATACTTGCACCGCTCTCTCTTTGTTTCAACTTATGACTCTATTTGATGCTCGCAAATGTCAGCTCAGCTCGCATTCAATATGGCAGGCACACAATCGCCTGACCGAACAATAGCCTCAAGATGCACGATGCCGAGGCGTGGAGCTAGCAGCACGCATGCTGGCGCATCACACCAGCCCGCTGCTTCATGCTTGCAGCCAGACTGCCGCCGTGCTGGGTGCGGCGCTCACTGAATGCAGCAGTCGCTGGACGACTTCTTTTCCTTCTTCTTCTTGGCAGCCGCGGCGCCGCTGCTGCCGCCGGATTCTGCAGAGGAGGGGCGGCGCTGGCTGGGCAGCGGCTGCCCCTGCCGCCGCTGCTCCTCCTGCTGCCGCGCCAGCTGCTGCTGCCGCCGCTGCTGCTCCAGGCGCACCCGCTCCTCCTCCTCCGCCTGCAGCTGCATGGCCAGAGCCAGGTCGGCGTCGTGCGTGTCGCCGCCTGCGCGGGAGGCACGGGCAGCAGGCAGCGGGTGTGCCAGAGAGGGGTGGGGAGGGCACGCTTTAGCAATGGGAAGGGCACGCTTTAGCCAATGCACTGCGAAAGAGGCAGGCAAGGAACTCCTCATCGGCCTCTTCCCAATACGCCAGCCAGGCCCCCACCCCCCAGCGCCTGCACGCCGCACCCACCTGCCGCTGCCGCGGCCGCGGCGGCCGCCGCCCAGTCTGCGTCTTGCGCCGCCGCCTGCCGCTCCCGCGCCTCCTGCTGCGAGGCGTGGGGGCGGAAGGGGCGGAAGTCGGCTCCCACCAGCTGCGTGTCGCCATCCACAGAGTCCAACGCCTCCCACACCACGTCTGCGCCGGGGGGGGCGGTGGCGGAACAGGGGGCAGTGGCGTTACAGGTGGCAGCGGCAGAACAGGTGAGCGAGGCACAACAGGTGAGCGAGGCCAGGGCAGGCCATGGCGCATGGGATGAAGGGCGGCGGCGCTGCTTGCAGGCCGACCAGCGCAGGTAACACGCGCACAGCCACATGCAGGCCTCCAAGCGCTGTCCCGGCAACCGTCCTACCCTCCCGGCAGCATTACCATCCCTGCTCCCTCCCCACCACCAGCACCAGCCCTCACCCCCGTCCCTCCTCCTCCCCGCTCACCCGACTCAAACTGGAAGCCCTCGTCTGCGGCCAGGATGAAGAGCTGGTCGTTTGGGCCCTTGTAGAGCGTGTTGAAGTGGTTGTTCCTGCACAGCGGGGGAGCAGCACACAGGGGGTGGGCTGTGATGGCCACGACGGCAGCAGGAGGACGCATGCAGGCAGGCAGGGCAGGCTGGCCGGCAGCGCCCACACCAAGGCGCATGCAGGGCTGGGCAAGGGCAGGCGCCCAGGCAACCGCCACCCGAGCGATCAGGCGCCTGCTGGCCTCCCACGATCAGACCCATGAAATCCTGACGACATCCTAGTGAACTGGCATGCCCCCGCCCCGCCCACCTGAAGAAGACTGCCAGCTGGTTGGGTCGCAGCCCCTCGTGCAGCGCCAGCAGGCCGTGGTAGGTCAGCTGGCTGCCGCTGCCCTCCAAGAACTGCTGCACCAGCAGCGCCTCCCGCACCGCCGCCTCGCCCGGAGACCCGCCACGGCTGCCGCCCGCCGGCGGCTGCCCCGGCGGCGTGCCGGCGCCCTGCCCCGCGCCCGAGGCAGCCGCCGCCATGGCTGCCGCGGCGGCGGGCGCCGCGGCCGCCGCCGCCGCCGGCTGCACCTGGAACTCGTCGGCAGACAGGGCGGAGGCGTGCGGGGTGAATGGGGTGGTGGGCCCCCTCCCGTTCCCGCTCCCGCGGGCGCTGCCCCCCTTCATC